TACTTCATTTTAAAGCTTGTTTCTCTTTTAACAATGTGGAAGTCAGTGGTCCAAACAGTTTGTCAGTAAGGAAACTAACTGTTCTATAACAGCATTCAGAAACTTACTTGACAATCTGCAAGGATGTCAGCCAACAGGCATACTTTTACATCTATTTTGTAGCCTGTGGGGAAATACTTTTCCAGTTCTAGGGAAGTTGCCTCCTTCCCTTTACAAAAAAAAAATCTTGCTATGTACCCCAAGCTGACCTAGAACTCACTGTGTAGCCCCAGGATGGCCTTGAATTTAGAATTTTCTTCAGCCTCTCAAAGGCTGGAATTATAAGCATTACCATGGCTCTTGACTTGTATTTGGCTTTTTTTAGATGACCTGACGATTAAACATACTAAATTTCACTTATCCTGCCATTGATCCACACAATTATAACAACTTCAAAGTTGTCTGAGGATATAGACTCTTTGTGTGAATTTTAAAATAAATACTTCTGGCTGCGTACTGATAGCTTAAAGTCAAGCAATTTAGAAGGCTGAGATTTGGAGGATCAGAGTTTAAAACCAGCTCAGGTAGAAAAGTCCATGAGACTCCATCTCTAAAATAACCAGCAAAAAGTAGGATATGACATGTGGCTCATGTGGTAGAGTATCAGCTGAAAATGACCCTGAGTTCAAACTTGAATACTATCAATAAACAGATAACAAGTTTTTTTTTTAATGGTAGATTAAAGAAAAAGGGAGATAGAACAGTGAGCTAGAACAAGGCTCTATAAACAATAATTTTTCAAATACAGCCAAGTCAGTACTACTCTCTCCCCTGTGATTTCAGATGGGTTATAATAAATAAAAATCCCTAAAAGTGCCAGTGGCTCTCACCTGTAATCACAGCTGCTTGGGAGGCTGTAAGAATGGGAAGGTCTTGTTTCTATCGCAATTATAAGATTATTTCTTTGTTGCTTTGTATGTCCCTCCCCCACAGTATAACCCCTGCTTTCACTGTATTTGATGTGGGTATAATTTGTGGAGGGGAAGGGGAAAAACAAGTCCTTTAAATAAGGATACAGGTGGACCTGTTGCAACAATGAGAAGTACAAGTTGTCATGTTGAAAACAAACTTTACAACTTGGGGGTGAGATCGTGGGGGGGGGGAGGATGGGAAGGGTAAACAGAGGAGGAGGCTACAATGCTTGATAAGAAATGTACTCACTATCTTGCCCATGTAATTGTAACCCCTCTGTACAGTATTTTCACAATAATAAAAAAAAAGAATGGGAAGGTCACTGTTTTCAGGCCAGTTAGGGCAAAACAGTTCAAGAGACCACTTCTTAGTACATAGCTTGATGCAGTGGTACATTCCTGTCACCCTAGCTGCATGCAGAGCTAAATTTGGGAGTATCACTATAACAGGCCATCCCAGAGAGAACAATCATTTCCATAGAGTGAGGTGGTTATTGCATGGTTCACTCCTGTGATCCTAGTGACACTGGAAAGCCTGTAGAGTAAGTAGATTGTGGTGAGGCCTTTGCTCCTTTGGAAAGTGAGAGCCTCACTATCTGAAGAATAACCAGTGGTTGCCCATGTAATTGTAACCCCTCTGTATGGTATTTTCACACACACACACAATTAACCAGTGGAAAACAGAGCTAGAAGCATCACTTAGCAGCATTTTGTCAGCCAAGCATGAGACCATGAGTTTGAACCCCAGTACTGCTTCCCAGCCTCCCCAAATAAATAATAATAATCCCTGGATGTGACATTACTTTAAAATCTTGCTTATCAAACTGGAGAACACTTGTTTGGGAACAGAAGATTCAGAAAGCAATAATACATTAAATATAGTTTCCCTTCCTGAAGAAAGAGTTGAGAGAATATGTACTATTTTTATATATATATATATATTGTGAAAATACCGTACAGAGGGGTTACAATTACATGGGCAAGGTAATGAGTACATTTCTTAGCAAGCATTATTGCCTCCTCCTTTGTTTCCTCTTTCCATCCCTTCCCCTCTCCCCCCTCACGCCAAAGTTGTAAAGTTCATTTTCAACATAACATCTTGTACATCTCATTGTTGCAATAGGTCCACCTATATCCCCTATTTAAACAATTTGTTTTTTCCCTTCCCCTCCACAAATTATACCAACACCAAATACAGTGAAAACAGAGGTTATACCATGGGGGAGGGACATACAAAGCAACAAAGAAATCATCTTAAAATATGTTAGAAACAATAGCAAGAAAGAAAAGCGACTTGAGGGGCTGGGAAGGTGGCTCAGTGGTAGAGTGCTTGTCTTGCATGCCTGAGGCCCTGGGTTCGATTCCTCAGCACCACATAAGCAAAAAGAAAAAAGCCAGAAGTGGCGCTGTGGCTCAAGTGGTAGAGCGCTAGCCTTGAGCTGAAGAGCTGAGGGACAGCGCCCAGGCCCAGAGTTCAGGCCCCACGACCGGACGCCAAAAAAAAAAAAAAACTGATTTGAGTCCTTATCTTGGGGTTCATTTTGCCTAACATCAACTTATCTGACCCTTTCTGCTTGTCTCAGACATATACTAGTTATTGCAAATAAGGGAAACTATGGGACCTATGTTTCTTTGGGCCTGGCTTACTTCACTTAATATAATTTTTTCCAAGTCTTTCCATTTCCTAACAAATGGGGCATTGTCATTCTTTCTGATGGAGGCATAGAATTCCATTGTGTATATGAGCTTTAAGAGCTTTCTAATAGATCCATTATTTATTGTTACCCAACATTAGAAAAAAATGTATAATTCAGTAGTAAAATACAAGTCCTTTTCATGACTACTTAAATTCCTTGTTTTTTTTAAAGACACTTGTTTTCATCTAAAAAAGTAGGCCTGTCTATTTTCTTCATGTGATTTTGATGATTGAAGGTGCTTAATGAGAAGTCAAAATCTATTAGTAGTTCTTTGCAATCAATTTTCACTTTTTCTTCTTGGAGAATATAATGATCAAAGCAATAGTTCAGAATCAGCAAGCAATAGTTCAGAATCATGCTTCCAGTGCAAGTGGATCACCAGTAGATAATCCTCAATACCAGTTTCCACAAAGTTTTCTCACAGATACAATTGGCCTGCCTTCTCTAGCTGCTTTCCTAGCCTGGACCTATTCCTTCATTATAGAGGAAAAGTGTGATTCAAATGATTTCAGTCAGATCTGTTACTAAAATTATCAAGGATTTAGATTCTTGTCTGTAATTTGGTCAAAGCTATGTCTCTTTATGTAGGCTACTAAAAATGTATTTACTAATTTCAAGTAAACACGTAAATTCGATTTCCATCTCTTTTAAAAAATAAAATTTTGTTTGCTCTATAAAAAAAAAAAAAGAATTCCATTGTGTATATATACCACATATTCTTGATCTATTCATCTACTGAAGGGCATCTGGGTTGGTTCCATATCTTAGCTATGTAAATCATGCTGCAATAAACATAGTTCTGGTAACTTTAGTATGGTCTTGTTTGTGATCATTCAGGTAAATGCCCAAAAGTAGTATTGCTGGGTCATAGGGGAGCTCTATGTGGAATCTTTTGAGGAACCTCCATACTACTTTCCAAAGTGGTTGAACAAATTTACACTCCCACCAACAGTGCAGTAAGGTTCCCTTCTGTCCACATCCCCTCCAGCATCTGTTGTTATTAGATTTCTTGATTATAGCCATTCTAACTGGGGTGAGGTGGTAATACGTACTTTTTAAATATTAAAACAGACACTGGCTGATTACTTATGATTCATGACTATAATCCTAGCTACTCTGGAAGCTGAGATCTGAGGATTGTTGTTCCAAGCCAGCTCAGGCAGGAGAAAGTCCATGAGACTCTAATCTCAAATTAACTACCAGAAAAACTAAAGTGTGTCTGACTTGGTAGAGGCTGATAGCCTTGAGCAAAATAGCTCAGGTATAGTGTCCCCCTCCTCAGTGGAGGTGGGGTGGGTGGGAATTGGTTGACTATGAAAACAGAACCAGCAGGAACATAAAGAAAAACCTTAAGATTGTTTGAAAGGAAAGGATGCTTCCAAATCCTCATTTTCCTTAATGCCATTATGAGTACTTCTTTTTTTTTTTTTTTTTTTTTTTTGCGGGAGCGGGGGGTAGTCTGGTCGTGGGGCCTGAACTCTGGGCCTGGGCGCTGTCCCTCAGCTCTTCAGCTCAAGGCTAGCACTCTACCACTTGAGCCACAGCGCCACTTCCGGCTTTTTTTCTTTTTGTTTATGTGGTGCTGAGGAATCAAACCCAGGGCCTCAGGCATGCAAGGCAAGCGCTCTACCACTGAGCCACCTTCCCAGCCCCCATTATGAGTACTTCTTGTAAACATTTTTATAAGCAAATCTTTGAGGTTAAGTTTGTGTTTATTTAAGTCTACAGTTGTAAACTGTAAAATTGTAATATACTGGCAAAAAAGAAAAGACTGGTATGCGAAAGAATCAACAGTTATTGTTCAAAGAAAGTAAGAGACTTCCTTTGTCATCTAATTACTCTTTCATACACATTATACATGTTGAGTATCCTTTACCCAAATGCTTGGGAGCAGATTGTTCCAGATTTCAGATTTTGAATATTTACATATGAGATTTCTTGAGTATGAGCCCTAAGTCTGACCATGAGATTTATTTTTATTTAATATGTTCTTTTTACACATAGGCTTCCAAAGGTAATTTTACAAGATATTTTAAAATAATTTTTGGGACATGAAGCAAGATTTTTTGATAGGGAATTTTCTGCTGTGGTGTCACGTCAGCACTCAAAAGCTTTTCACATTTAGCATATTTCAGATTTTAAAAATAGACATGCTCAACCAAAGCCATTGTTAAGTTCTTCCACCCTCACCTCCCCATACTTGTAGAGGTTTTCATTTACTTGGCAAGAGAATAGTCTGTGTTTTATTAATTGAGTTGTGGAAATAACGTTGTAAAAACTTTTTTTCTTCACTTAATGTATTAAAATTAGCTTTATTTTTAAAATGATTTTCTATCTTTCCTTGTTATCACAGGACAATGAAAAGAGAACACCATTACATGCTGCTGCCTATCTTGGAGATGCAGAAATCATTGAACTGCTTATTTTATCTGGTATGGTAATATGTATACTTTATCACAATATTTCAAGCATAATTGGCTTTTCCTATAAAATTTGGTTCTTAATAATTGTTTTGTAAGCTATATGTTTATTTACTCTAAAATTCTGACCAAATGGCCTATTCTGAGTTTTTAGACTACAGAACAGACAATTGCTTCCCATGTATAGGTCATACTATAATAAACAGGCAGTGAATGCAAATTATGTTCAAAGATGGTAAGTGCTATGGAAAAGGAGATCAACATAATAGGAGTGAATAAGTGTTACAAAAGACATTACATAGAGAATTAGTAGGAGAGTTACTAGGAGATGATTGCATTTCTTCAAAGGAAGGGGAAAGGATGGCTCAGACCAAATGCAGCTGGATAGGTGGTAACAGTCTCTACAGACATATTTTTAAGGCAGTGTTGTCAGGATTCATGGCTTTTTAAGGGTCTGTAAAATTGCTTTTAAATAAGTTTGCTTTATTTTTAATTCTTTCTAAATTATTCAAGTTTTATGATTTGAATACTAAACATCTCTTTTACCGAGTAGCTCCTGTTATGATCAGAGTGCTCATTGTCCTAAAATAAGCAATCAAACAGACCTTAGAAATATTCTTGTTATTGTCAGGTTAATAATGATTTTCAGGAAAGCTTACACATAGTTAAGTTGATATTGTTTTCTTTTTTCATCACTGGATATTGAAGCTACTGCCTCACCCATGCTAGGCAAGCCTCCACCAATTGAGCCATGCTCCTTGACTCTTTTGTTTCGAGTCTGAATCTCCCTAACTTTGTCCAGACTTGCCTTCAACTTAAAATTCTTCTACCTTCACCTCCTGCCATCACCTTGCAAGTAGCTGGGGTAATAGGTGTGCACGTCTACACCTGACTTAATTTTGTATTGCCAGATTGCACAGATATATGCATAGGGAAATTGGAGTAATATCATTCTTTTGACATTTTGTTAGGCACAGAAGAGCTGAAATTTTCTATGGAGATAGTATACTTAAGAATTTTACATTGGGGGCTGGGAAGGTGGCTCAGTGGTAGAGCACTTGCCTTGCGTGCCTGAGGCCCTGGTGATTCCTCAGCACCGCATAAGCAAAAAGAAAAAAGCCGGAAGTGGCGCTGTGGCGCAAGTTGTAGAGCACTAGCCTTGAGCTGAAGAGCTCAGGGACAGCACACCCAGGCCCAGAGTTCAGGCCCCACGACCAGACCCGCCCCCCCCCCCCCCCCAAAATAATAATTTTACATTGGAAGTGGCGCTGTAGCTCAAGTGGTAGAGCGCTTTCCTTGAGCTGAAGAGCTGAGTGACAGCACCCAGGCCCAGAGTTCAAGCCCCACAACTGACAAAAAAAAAAAGAATTTTACATTGTAAATTCATAAAATTTTTCATACCTGGTTTTTATTTCAAATTTCATGATCATATAGAATTAAATATATTTAGATATGGATCCAATTAATTTTGTTAATTTTCTTTATGAATTACTTATTCCCTGACACACTTCCTTAAAGGTCACTTGCTGAAATTTAGTAAAGAACCAAGAAAATTCAAGGATAAAAACTGTTTTTCTTTTTTGTCGGTTCTGGGGGTTAAACTCAGGGTCTATACACTGTCCCTGCCTGAGCTTTTTGGCTCAAGGCTAGCACTCTACTACTTTGAGACACAGCACCATTTCCTGTTTTCTGGTGGTTAATTGGAGATAAAAGTCTCATGGTCTTTCCTGTCCTGGCTGGCTTTGAACCACAATCCTCAGATCTCAGCTTCCTGAGTAGCTAGGATTATAGGTATCAGCCACCAGTTCCTGGCTCCTTTTCCTTTTAATTAGGCATCTTTATAATCATTTTAAGTTGATAGTTACAATTTATATATGGAATTTTTGTCACAAACATCATCTAAGGAATTTTCTGTGCTAGAAACTTGCCTCTGAAAAGTATGTTCCTTCCCCCCTCCCCTTTTTGTGCTGGTACCTGGGCTTGAATTCAAGGTCTCAGACAAGAGCTCAATTTTTCTGGTTCATTGTTGGTGCTCTACCACTTGAGCCAACACTTCTACTCTGAGTTTTTTTTGACCTTTGCTATCACCTCTTATTCTCAAGTTAATTTATTGGGGGAAGGAATCATAAAGGTAAAACTACAAAATAATGTGAACCTATTTTTGGGCCAGGGATATCTCATTTAACAAAAACTAAATTATTACCACTTTAGGGTTGTCTGTTTAAACTCTCTGAGGTCTGACTTGTGACTTTGCCCTGTTATACTCACAGGGTTTCTCAGCTATCTTAGTTCTCTGATGTAAGTGGAGGTTTGACTCCAGGTTAAAAGTCTTTACACATATATTACATTTTTTGGGGGGGGAGGCAGTCCGGTCGTGGGGCCTGAACTCTGGGCCTGGGTGCTGTCCCTCAGCTCTTCAGCTCAAGGCTAGCGCTCTACCACTTGAGCCATAGTGCCACTTGCGGCTTTTTTCTTATGTGGTGCTGAGGAATCAAACCCAGGGCCTTAGGCATGCAAGGCAAGCGCTCTACCACTGAGCCACCTTCCCAGCCCAGCACATATATTACATTTTTATAATTTCTTATTTTTGATGTACAGTGACAGATGACTTATGGTTGAAAGTTTCTCTACATTTTTTACATTAATAGTTTCTCATTTGTATGAGTTTTCTGATGTTGAGGTTTTTCTTTCAGTAAAAGGTTTTTCCACATACATTATACTATAGAGTTTCCCACCTATGTGAGTTCTCTGATGTCTAAGAAGGTGTGACTTGCTTGAAAGTTTTCCTGATCTTTTCATTTATAAGCTTTATAAATTCTCTGATATACTAGGAGAGATGAGATATATTTGAAATTTTATACTTATTTGGGTATATGGAGGTTTAACTTGTTAAAGAAATATTGTTTTCACAGTTTACCACTTGGGTAAATTCTCTGTATTTTGCAGTTTGATATCTTGCTAAAAAAAAAAAAACCCCACTTTTACCACATATATTATACAGTTTCTCTCATGGTTTCTCTGGTGAATTTAGTTTTGACTTCTGACAAAATGATTTCTCAAGTTCACCACATCAGTAAGGCTTTCACCCCCTCTCCCCACATGCATTCTCTGAGATATTTTGAAAAATGCAATATCTTTGTCTTTGCTTTTTTGTCTGATGTGGGGCTTGAACTCAGGGCCTATGCCTGAGATTTTTTTGCTCAAGGCTATTCTTCTACCACTTTAATCCACAGTGCTACTTCCAGTTTTCTGGTGGTTAATTGGAGATAAGAGGCTCACGGACTTTCCTGCCCAGGCTAGCTTTGAACTGCAATCCTCAGATTTCAGCCTCCTGAGTAGCTAGGATTACAGGTGTGAGCCACCTGGGCTCATTGGAATGTAATTTCTTAATGAAGGTTGATTTAAAATTACCATTGTGACACATCTCTCCTTCAAGTTCATGTTTAGTGAGTATAGATGTTGTACAGAACATTTTATCACATATTCAAAAACTTTCTCCCTCCTTTTCTTTTTGGGCAATAAAAGATACCTTATCAAAGGCTTTCTCATATTCACTGACTTCATTGTGGAGGTATCATAAAATGTCTATGGGTCCACAAGCTTTCATACTGACGACTTTTTCCTGTCCACAATACTGAATTTGTGGTTGCTCACTTTGAATCTTCTTACTAAACTAAACTAAAAGGCTCAAAATGTCTGAGGAGGGCTTCCTGGTTACATTGAGACTTAAAAGGTTTCTCTCTAGCCTGCATCTCATAAAGCTCACAAAGGTAAAGCACATTGTGCTATCCATTAAATCCCTTGGGACTCATTCCTTGAGATTTAATTTTCTGTGGCTTGAACTCCCATTAAATATTTTCCCAAACTCAACCCTTTCTTTAGTTGATATGCTGCTATTGATAATTATAAGGTGCCACCAATGTCTCCTAATTTTCATTCAAGTCAATATTCTGGACACCTTGAATTTTGTTAGGCACAGTAAGATGCTCAGAATATCTGAGGGCCTTCGAGTTGGATTAAGACTATCAAGTTCCTCTCCAGCTTTCATCTCACCAGACTCAGTAGAGAGATGCATCTTCTGCCATACATTAAGTGCCTTGGGCTTCATTTCTGAAGACTTTTTATTCTTTAAGATACACTGCAAACATGATTTGGGCTCACATTAAATATGTTTCTGAATCTAACTTTTTCACTTGATGTGCTGTTACCATAAACTTCTCTCTGATTTTCATGACTGGTCTCATTCAGGTCATTCTCTTTTTGGACATCTGGGTAGCTCCAGTTTGCCGCTGCTTATACTATCATGGCCCACAACTTTGCTACAACCTGAAGATCATGTCAGGTTTGATAACACAATGACCCAAGGACACCAGGCCTTCTGTACTGTAGAACTCCAGCATCACATCCCTGTAGATTTTATCTGAGCATCATCTAAGTTCTCTACTCCTCCCAAGTGAAATCCACAGACACATCCTCAAATGACACAAGCCCCATATCTGGTTCCGAGTTTCCCGGTGTACTCCTCATGACTCTTGAGAACTGATAAGCAACCAGTCAAACATGAGTAACTCACACATATCTACAACAGTCTCAATATGACAAGCTTCACTCTAGCATCTTACTAGTTAGAGATAGGGGTCTCACAGATTTGTCTGCCTGGGGCTGGCTTTGAACTGTAGTCCTTAAATCTCATACTCCTTAGGATTTTGGATTGCAGAAACAAGCTACCACCACCAAACTTGTTGTACTGGTTTTTTTTTTTTTCATTTTTGGTGCCAGTACTGGGACTTGAACTCAGGGTCTAGACACTGTCCCTTAGCTTTTTGACTCAAGGTTGGCACTTCACCCCTTGAGCCACAGCTCCACTCTGGTGAATTTTACAATCTGGCTGGCTTAAAACCTTGATTCTTAGATTTCAGCTTCCTGAGTATATTATAGGTAAGAACCACCAATGCCAGATCATTACCATTTTCATTGAGAATATCTTTCTTTGCAAAGGAACAACTTGTAAG